CCCTCCTCCTCCTCCTCGTCCCCCTCCTCCTCCCCCTCCTCTTCATCTTGCTTCCACTCCCATCAACCCCTCACCTTCTCCCCCATCCACATCGTCCGCCCCCCCGGCTGCCGCGCCCCCCCCCCCTTCACCCGGTGGCGGCCTGGAGGTCGCGGTCCGTGCAGTAGCAGCCCCTCGCGGACGGCGGAGCGCGTCGCCGGCACACATGGGCAACCACACATGACCCAGAAACGAAACGAGCCAAAAGCAAACAAAAACAGCAAAAACACGGTTGGGGCTGAAGATTTGAAGGAGGCCTGCAACCAGGTGAACCCCAGCGGGGGTGTCCGATACCCCTGCGTCGATTGGGCCCGTAGGGTTAGAGTTCGCAAGTGGTCAGAGAACGCAGCAGTTGGCCACCCCTCCTCATCGCCAGTATCTGCGTTTTCACGAGACCGGCGTCACAGCGAATTGCCGCTCCGCGGTCCCAGTGTAAGACAGCGGAACTCCGGGCAAGCTGGAAACGCAGTGAGCACCAAGATGCAGGAGGCAAGGTCCTCCTCGCCAGCATCCTGATGGTCTCGCCCCTTTCCTCTTCCACCTCCTCTTCCTCGTCCTTCTCCTCCTCCTCTTCCTCCTCCTCCTCCTCCTCCTCCTCCTCCTCCTTCCCCTCCTACTCCTCCTCCTTCTCGTCCTTCTCCTTCTCCTCCTCCTTATCCTTCTCCTCCTCCTCCTCCTCCTCCTCCCAACCACCACCACCACAACTATCACCACCACCACCACCACCACCACCACCATCATCATCATCAGCAGCAGCAGCATCATCATCAGCACCATCATCATCATCATCAGCACCATCATCATCATCATCATCATCATCATCATCATCATCAGCATCATCATCATCATCATCATCATCATCAGCATCATCAGCATCATCATCATAACCAGCATCATCAGCAGCAGCAGCATCATCAGCATCGTCATCATCAGTATCATCAGTATCATCATCATTATCATCATCATCATCATCATCCTCATCAGCAGCAGCAGCATCATCAGCATCATCATCATCAACAGCATCAGCATCAACACATCAGCATTGGCAGCAGCAACAGCATCATCATCATCATCATCGTCAATAGCAGCAGCATCATCATTAACAGCAGCATCATCAGCATCAACGGAATTCATCATCACCAGCATCAGCATCATCAACAGCAGCATAATCACCATAATCAGCATCAGCATCAGCATCATCATCAACACCACCATCATCAGCAGCAGCAGCATCATCACCATCCTCAGCATCATCAGCAGCAGCATCGTCATCATCATCATCATCATCATCATCATCATCATCATCATCATCATCATCAGCATCGTCATCATCACCATCATCATCATCATCATCACCAGAATATTCATCATCATTGTATTTATCATCATCAGCATCATCATCAGAATCATCAGCATCATCATCATCATCATCATCATCATCATCATCATCATCATCATCATCATCATCATCATCATCATCATCATCATCGTTATCAGATGTCTCTTCTTATCCTCGTCGTTCTCGTCTTCCTCCTCGCCCTTTTGTCACTACTCATCCTCATCCTTCCTTCCGCTCTGCTTCCTGATATCCGCCATCGTGACCCCATAGCACGCTGAGGCGTGGTAACATGTCAACTGCTGCCTGGAGGGGTTAAATCAGTCTGTGAAGGGACGCACCACCCCTCTGATCACGCTTACCGGCACGCAGGCGTTGACGGACGTTGGAGGGCCTGGCTGCTCGTCTCGAGCTATTGAGCCCTACCCCTCCCAGGCATCCGAAGTCACGACGTCTTCGTGACGAGGGCCCCCTGGGCCTCCCTGGTGGGCGTCAGCGAGAGGGGGAGGGGGTAATCCATGAGATCCTGGCGCCGCAATTTTTTCACACTAAGCGAATTCGCTCCGACATGGGCCCTAGCATTCGCAAGCCAATCTGGCTCGAGACATGCCGCAGAAAGGTGGGGTCTACGGCTCGAGGCGCGATTTTCCACGATGCTCCTAAGGGATTGACTGGGGACGATCCAGGGGCGCAGGAAAGTTGCCCTACAGGCTGGGGCCCTCAGGGGTCCGAAAACTGACGCTCGGGCTCCAAAAGGCGCTGGAAAGACGAGCCTTTCTCTCCGCCTCTCACCCTCGTTGGGAGCCGATTGTCTGCCAGGCTGTTTCCGCTGCCCCCCCGGGCCCGAAACGGACCTCCAGCGGCCGATACACAACACACCGATGGCCGTCGTCGCGATGTCCGTCCTGATCCACGGGATGTCCGGACAAACTCCGCTCTGAACCAGTCGGTCCCCCACCCCTCCAAGGCCTGTACTGACCCGATTCGTTCAGGCTCCGCCCCACTCGCGGCGATGAGGGCACCCAAGCCAATGAAAAAGAAGACCCTCGCAGTGGCCTCCTCGGGGGCCTCCTCCTCCTCATCCTCCTCCTCAAGAGATCGGACCAATTCATACTCTCTACACAACGTCCCTGGAAGTGTCGACCCTCTCCCCAAAACCAGCTTTGCATCCCGACTCGCTCTCTGACAGTCATGGATCCCGAAGACAGCCCCGAGGAGCCGAAAGCTACCAAAAGCCTCCGTCCTGAGCCTGCTCAAGACGTTGGACGTCTGGGCCTCCTCTCCCTCTCCCTCACCCTGTTCTTCCCCCTTCCCCCCCTCTTCCCTCCTGCTGGCCCGAAGCAAATGGCGATGGGGCGTCAGGCGCCCCGCGCCTCTCGCTTTCGTCGTTGACGAGGCGTGCGAACACGTCCTCGGTGAAGCCCCTGCTGGGTTCCATCTTCCACTCCTCGCGGCGCCTCCTTCTCCTCCTCCTCCTCCTCCTCCTCCTCATCCTCCTCCTCCTCCTCCTCCTCCTCCTCCTCCTCCTCCACCTCCTCCTCCTCCTCCTCCACCTCCTCCTCCTCCTCCTCCACCTCCTCCTCCATTCCTTTTCCTAATAAATAACTTCCCCCTGTCACACCCCGAAGCGGCCAATTTTTAGGGCGGGCCGGGCGTTTCGCCTCAGACTTCCTTCCCAAGATCTTCACGGATTGAGGGCGGGTCGTTTTCATATCCTTTGAGCGCGGCGCACACTCGTATTGAGGGCGGGTCGTCTTAAACAGAGCTTCATGGATTGAGGGCGGTGACTTTTCAAAATGTAACTCTCGCCTTAGCGCGGCGCACACTCGTTGTAACAATTTGCAAGAGTTTCACATGTTGAGGGCGGTTAATTTTCAAAATGTGGCTCTCGCCTTCGCGCGGCACATTCATTTTAAATATTTGCAAGAGCTTCACGGATTGAGGGCGGCTCATGTTCAAAATGTGGTTCACGCTTTAGCGCGGTGCTCATTCGTGCAAACAGCAAAAGCACATGCAGGAGCTTCACGGATTGAAAACGATTCCTGTTCAAAATGTAGTTTTCGCCTTAGCGCCGCGCACATCCGTTTAAAAAATGGCAAGAGTTTGACGGATCCCCATCATCTACGTACCAGAAGCGGCGTTCTGAAAGGATTCAGGATTACGCGGGCGCAACAGGTTCCGTTGATTCGCTGCGTGGAACTCCCAGAAATTGCGTTGTGACACGATTTTCGATCGTCAACACGCAACAGTCAGGTTGATCCGTGGCGTTGGAATCCCGAGAACAATGTTTTGGCATGCTGCAGGGTCTTCAAACGGTTTTCCAACGAGGTAATTCCCCAAATGGAAATGAACCGTTGTAGGGGCCTACGAAGAGGGAGCTTGGAGGGAGGGTGTATTCCAACATCGTTGATGCCTCTTGGGTTTACACTTGATGGTGATGATGATGAGGATGACGATGATGATGACGACGACGATAATGATGATGATGACGACCAGAAACTCCCCGGGTGCCGGGTGGCGGGCGGGCGACCCTCGCGCCCGTGGCGTAAGCAGGCACGCAGGAACGGGCGCGCGGCAAACACACACACACACACACACACACACACACACACACGGAAACACACACACACACACAACACACACACACAACACACACACACAAATACACACAAGCAAACACACACACACACACACACACACACACACACACACACACACACACACACACACACACCACACACCACACACCACACACCACACACCACACACACACACACTCTCACACACACACACACACACACACACGCACACACATTTCGGTCGTAGCGGCGCGGCGACTCGCCAGCGCGTCGGGCGCCCGCACGGCCGGAGCCGCGCGCGCGAGCAGTGTCGTCGGGAAGAAAGGAGCAGCGGCCGTGCGGCAGCGGGGCAGGCAGCGGGCAGCGGCCGCATGGCGGCGAGGCAGCGAGCGGGGCAGGGGCCAGAAGCGGCGGAGGCGGGCGGGGCAGCGAGCAAGGAGCACGCCGCGCTGGGGCGGCAAGCAAAAAAAAAAATAACGGCCGCGGCGGCGGAAGAGGCGGGCGGCGGGAGCCAGAAGAAGCGCGGGCGCGCTGGCGCGCCCAGCAGCCGAAGGGAGGCGGGCGGGGCGGGGCGGAGCGGAGCAGGGCGGCCGCGCCGGCAAGGCGAGCAGAGATGGCCCGGGGACCATAGCCAGCGCAAAACCCAACAAGGCGAGCCCCTGTCAGTAGAGAGGGAGAGCCAGCCAAAGGGTCGGAAAGGCGCAGCGGGCCGCTAGGGGGAGGCGGGGGCGACGAGAGCGGGGACACCGCCCGAGGAGAGCAGCGGGTCGCGACAGGCGGGGCGGGCCCCAGGGCAGAGGCGAGCCGACAAGGCGAACGGCGCCGAGAGGGCCCCAGCGGATCGAACCGAGGTGGGCGCAAGAAGACAGGGTGCCCAGCTGGCGCGCTGAGCCGGGGCCGACCAGGAGCAGAGCAGAGACACGCCGCGACAAACAGTCAGCGCGCCACCAAGCTGGGGCGGCAGGCCCAGGTCTGGGCCGGGGACGAGCGGATCCAATACTGCGAGCAAGGAGACGACGCGGGATCGACAAGAAACGGCCCCCAGCGGATCGCCCATGAACCGCGCCGGGCGAGGGGCCACCGCGGGCCAGGCAAGACCAGGGCGCGAGCAGCTGGGCCTGAGGCCTGGCAAGCCGCTGGGACGAGGCGGCAGACCAAAGGGGCGGCGGAGGGGCGGGCGAGCGGCTCGGGGACCCACGCGCACAACGCCGCGCGCACAGGGCGGGCAGGTCCACACCCGAGGCAGCCGGAGCGAGGCGCCGGCGCGAGGCCCGCGGCGGAGCGAGGTCGACGCCGCGGGGCGCCCGGCGGGCCGCAGGGGCCGCGCAGGGCACGGCAACGGGCCGCCGCAGGCTTGGCGGGACCGGGGTCGGCGCAAGGCGGGCGGGGGCACGCGGCAAGAGGGACTGGGCCCAGCCGGAACAAGGCGGCAGACCCGCGCGGGCGTCGGCGGGGCGGGCGGCCAGCCCAAGGAGGAAAAAGAACAGCGCGCCCGACGCCACGCGCTGGGAGCGGGCAGATCCGCGCTCGAGGCAGCAGGGGCGAAGGGCAAAACAAGCGCACCCTCAGTTACTGGCCTGTCGGCCGGCAGATCCCAGCCACTCGTTGAACACCGCGCCGACGGCGTTCTCGATCCCAGCGGGGCTCGGGCCAGCTGGCGGGCGGGAGGTCCTAGCAGGACTATGGCCGCGTTGAGCCGTCGGTCTTCGTCGCCAGCGCCGTCGCCGCCGTCGGGCGCGATGGGGCCGTCGGCGGCGCGAGACCAATTGGCGCCGTCGAAGCTGTAGATGGCGCCGCGGCCGGGAGTCGCGGGCGGGCCACCGCGGCCCTGCACGGGGGGCGTCGCGCGGGGGCCGAGGGGCTGCAAGGGGCGCAGGCAACCGAAGAGAGTCGCGCCCGCGTCAACCGCGCGGCCGCTGGCGCGGCGCGGCCGAATTAACGGTGGCCCGCTGGACTGCCCGCCCGCTGGTCGCTAGGGAGGGCAGCGACTGGGCCCATGCTCTCGCACGGAGACCGCGGCAAGTTGGCGTCGAACGGGCTCCCCCGAACGAGGCCCACAGGATCCTCAAGCCCCCCAAAGGGGTCTCGACCGCCTGCCCCACTTGCCATGGGCGAACGGCGGGAGCGGCACGCGCCCTGGCGCGCGAGGCTGGGCGCCCAGCGGAGGCCGTAAGCGGTCATGGCGAAAACGCCGCACTGACAGCAGCGGCGCGCAATGGCCCGGAAAACGGGAGGCGGGCGGTCGGTCTGCAGACTGGCGACCCGCCAGGGCGATGAGCCCAGATGGGGGCGGGCCGGGAAGGAACGCCCGGGCTCGCGAGGGCCAGAGGGGCGGCGGCGCCGCTGGGGCGCGAAACGGGCCCCACGGGCTGCACTTCGGCCTGCGCCGCGGGAAGGGCAGAGGAGCCAGTGCTCGGCGCGCCCGCGGGAGGGGCACGGGGGGTGGCAGGCGCGCGCGGCGGGCGCGGCAGGATTTGCAGAGTCGCCCCGGAGCGCGGGCGCATGCCCCACGGAGGCGGCGGGGGCAGCATCGCGGGCGAGCGCGGCTAGAGCGGCGTCGGCCTCGGGGGCCACGCGGCGAGAGGAAGTCTCGCCCACGGCGCGGGCGCGGCCGTTGTTGGCAACGCATGCGCCAAGCATGCCCCAGCATGTAGAGGCGGTGTCTAAGCGGGCCTGCATCGAGCACGGACCGCGGCCCCGGGCAGAGACGGGGCATTGCCTGAGCGGGACTCGCATGACGCAAAGCTCCCCGCATGGCTTGCCCTTGTCTGCGCACGGTCGCGCGACGCGGGCCCCGCCGCGGATAGGGCCCAACATCCAGACCGCAGCGGCCACGGACCACTGCCAATGGAGCGGCGGCCTGCAGGGCGACCAGGAAAACAGCGACGCGGACCTGGGTCCACATGGCGAACGCCGCGAAGCGCGACGGTCGCACGTTGGCCGCGCACTCCCCCGGGGCAACGCCGGCCGCCCAGACAGCGAGATCCGGGGGGCCCGCAGAATTCAGAAAGAACGCGCTGACCGAGCGGCCGTCGGGGCGGAAGGGCCCCCCGCTTCCGGGGATGCGCGGTCAGGCGCGCGGGCGGCGACCGGGGCGGCCGCGGCGGCCTGCTCGGGCAGCGGGGCGACGTCCTCGATCGGTCCAGGCGGGGGAAGAACGGGCGCCAGTCGCCCGGAAGTCCGAATCGGCCCGCAAGCCCCATGGACGTCGACGGAGGCCGGGCCATCGGCGCCACCGCCGAGGGAGGCTCGGCGATGGGCACCCACCGGGGAAGGGATGCCCAGCCAGGCAGGGACGGCAACGCGTCGCCCTGCTGTCCGGGCGCGGCCACAGGGATGCATCCCCCAGCGGCAATGGCAACCAGGGCGAGCTCGCCCAGGCACGGGGCGAGGTGCGCCGTCTGGAATCAGGCGCCCAGGCACAGTCGACGAAGCAGAAAATTCACACCATCATTTTTTTGAAGGAGCCATTCGCTCAAAAGAAACAAGCCTTTTAGTAAAGTGTTGTTGCTCTGTTGCGCGACAACCGCGCGGCGCGTCCAAATTGCCGAGCCGCGCCCTGCGCTCTCGCTGAAAACATGTCCAGAGATCGCCGCGACCCAATACAACGCGACCCTGACTACTCGAGCAACTTCATCGCGGGGTCCATTGCCAAGAAAGACGAGGGCCCCCCCCCGACCGGGCCCTGGCCCCGCATCACCACCGCATCCCCGGGGCCCTGACAAGGCAGACCGAGGACTTCACTGGGGCGAAGAAGCGGCTTTACTAATGCGAGGGAACGGCTTTACTAGAGCGAGGAAACGGCTTTAAAAGCGGCGCGCCGCCCAATGCACTCCGAAAAATTGAAGTTTTACTAGATGGCGAAAAA